TTTGCCTTTTAACTTAATGTACAGTATTTATAAATATTTTAATGTGAGGCAAGGTGACCTCTAGAAACCATCAGGCTTTTAGTTGAGGTCACCTCGTACGTAACAATACGGTTACATAAATAGTGCAACAGTGTGCGGCTTTGCCAGTTCAGTAATTATTCTTTGAGTTCAGTTATTCTTTCAGTTTAGTTATTATTCCTTGACAACAGCTCTAAAAAATGCCATGTTCGGTACTATTAAAATTATAACATGGCTCCGAGGTTTTCAGGGCAAAATTGCAAATTTAACAAGTTTTCTTTGTCCCTCAATTTCCAAAAGAGACAAAAGAGACTTGCATACAAAGAAAACACCACTACATGTAAATATAGAGGTTTGTCCTGAAAGCCTTGGAGCCATGTTGGAATGTCGATCTTATGAAATTGAACATGGCCTATTCAGAAGCATAGAAAACTTATGGTTCTGCGCAAGTTTTGATATACAATTCGAGGTTATCTCTATATCTTAATTGTACAATAATTCTCTGTACATTGTACATATGCTGTAAGGGACTGTTAGATAGACTAGAAAATGTGGTCTCGGGGCTGGCCCCAGTCCCTTAGTAGGGAACACATCACCACATCTTCCATCCCCCTCCACAGGAGAATAACTTGAAGTCCTTAAATAGTGGAATTTAGTTGCCACAGACTCAATATTTTGTAATCTCTTGTAAAGCCGAGATTTGCCGATGTTTATTTGGTTGAGAAGAAAATTCATCACCATGTTGCCTGTCAACTGCGCCATGTTAGATAGACAAGACCATATGGCCATGGGGTGAGCCCCTAGAAGAAAACACAACAAAACAAAACACAACAGGGGTGTCACAAAATCTAAGACCTTAGAGTGAGACCACTTCCAAAATTCTCTAGTACCACCTTGTACTTCAGGTGGTGCAGTGCAATTTTCAGTTGTTTCCATTCTGTGTTATAGGTTGACAGAACTGTGGGACTATCCAAAGTATGGCTGCCCATTCAAAAGAGGCTCAAAGTACTTCTATTTCCACAACTCTGGATTACAAAATCAAAGGTACGATAACCAGACTCAGATGCTTTTGTTTCCACTTGAAACATGAAAATGGCTGTGTATACATACTTTGTACATGTATTAGTAGCATACAATGTGTCCTTTGTGTCAACCCTACCACGCCCCTTGAATTTCTAGTGTAGTATTACAGTGGAATCCCGATTTGTCAAACCTTCAATTATTCAAACCTCCCATTAACTCGAACCAAAAGTCGTTCCCTCTCCTCAGTCGAACACTGTAATTTTACCCCTGATTTCTCAAACTCTCCGATTTTTCGACCCAATTTTTGTTTCCCTTGAAGGTTCAAAAAAGCATGAGTCCATTGTCAGTATATTTTAGATAATTTTCCTTTGAAAATTTGGAATACATTGTATGCAATCCCCTACATTACAGTATGTACCTCATAGGAATTTCCAATGACCTAGATCCATGAGGAGGTACATGTACATGTAGTTAGGGGTATTTTCTGGGATTAGGTCCTGTACAATATACATGCTGTACAATGTGACATACATGTAGCCTGACCCCTGGCCTGACCCAAACATTAACCGGTATAAGGATGAGTCTGGGATGACTTGAAAGGCTCATATTGTGTAAACTTAATTCACAGTCAAATGCTGATATTAGGTCTCTGTAATCCTCTCAAACTCTCGCAATGGAATGAGAATTTGCATCATCAAAGATTCTGTTGTGAATATGGATTGTGATTCTGTTTTGATTCTGTTAGGCCTGTGCGGCCCTCTTAGGCCCTCTTAGGCCCTCTTAGGCTCTCTTTCCACAACCCTGGGTTGCTTTTTACCCTGTTTTGAGTCACCACAGCTGGTAACCCTTTTGCAGTCAAATGTTTATTTATTTAAGCATTTACATGAAAGCAGTAGTCAAGCTGGGTCAGCCCCCCTTGCCGGGTAACCACAGCAAAAATGTTCATTCAAATATCTGACAAAGCAACACGTCAAATTTTTTCTTGAGTCGTGGCGAATTAATAGTTTCTTGGGCAAAAAAACAATTTGGAAGTGCTCAGTTAAGCTAAATATCAAGCTGACGACAAACAAAAACTGCAGTCGGTAAAAGTGTTTCTCAAAAATTGGTCAAGCCCAAATTTGGATTAGTTTTCCAAAGAATTGAAAACAAACTGCACATGGTAGAAACTTTTGGTGGTTGAGCTCTCTGTCCTTCACTGCCTCTCCAGCAAAAGGAAAGAACAATATGGAACCAGACATTTCTTAAAAGAAAGTGGAGAAGAAAGCGAACCAAACACGCCTGGCTTTGAGCTGTTTGAGATATTCCGGCTTATTCAATAGCAGGTTTGTGGGTTACGTTTTCCTTTCCACTTCATTTTAAATATTTGATAACTTGTGCATCTAAGGCTGAACTTGAACACATAAATGGCTTTAAAAATGATCTCTGTCACTTTTGTTATTTGGTAAAATAAGCTTAAATGAACAGAAGTGAGACTGAAACATTAAGGAAAATGTCAGAAATGTAATCTTATATTTGTGCACGATGCAGTTTTCCTTTCGAACAGCTGTTTCTTCAAGAGTTCAATTCACAATCAAGCAATGAGCTTTCGAGCAAAACTAAAACCTGGCAACTGAAATAATTCATTAGGGGCCACTCATATTTGACAAAACTTCCTTTATTAAAGGTCAGAAAAGCCATTACCTCTGTAACATTTTTGGAACAGAAGGATTTCGTATGTAAGACTTCACAAACAGAGATTTGTTAAAGCTCTCATGTTCAAGTTTTTTTTG